TGGGGGGGGGGCGAAACCATGGCCATGCCCCCTCAGCTCAGCACTATGGAAGGGGAGGGAGGGCTGCTCTAGTGCCCACCAGCTTCTAGCCCGAGCTACTGCAGGCATGTGCCTGCATTTCTTGGATGCCCGGGGAGTTACAAACTGATTCAGCCTAGCCAGGTTAGACTAACCTGCAAAGATTTAATCAATTCAGGCTCAGGCTTTTTGAATGCCTTGGAAGCCTAATGCTGTACAACAAATTTATGTTAAAACCACACACCTTTATTTAAATCATTTTCTCCAAAACATTCCTGTTTTCTGTAGTTAAGTCTTCCAGCTCTTAAGTTTGTTAGAATTTAAAATGGTCCTTGGAGAGAATCATTGAACTCCAATACTAAAAGAGGGTCTTTTGTAATAGGCAAGGCAGGAAGTCACCAATGGTTAAGTATCAGGATTCTGTGAATTCTGGGTGTCAGCTTGAAACTACAGTTATTTTATTTTTTGGAAGGAAGAGGAGGACATGGCACCCCTATATGACTTTGTTTATAGTTCTGTTAAGTGCCCTTCCTTCTCTTAGGTTGCACTAGTGGTATCTTAAATAGAAGTAAATTCCGTGTTCTTGTATACAGCCATGTGTTTTGCTTTTTCTCCCTTGAGATGGAGACAGCATCTCTCTCAGGCTAGTGTTTGGCCCAAGCTGTCCCAAGAAGACATTATTTGCTTTTTTTTGCTTTCTGACTAAACAGTTTCTAGAATGACAACCTATTATTAGTAACTCGTTAATTGCAAAGTGTAAATATACAGCTATCAAATACTCTGTGCAAGGCAACAACCATACCATATGTATATACCACTTTTCAAAGGGAATATAAAAAGGAAAAGAGACTACTAAAGAAAAAAAATCTCCAGCTGCATTCTAGAGTCAGTGTAAATACATGTTGGGGTGATAAATATAGCTAAAAACATGATATTTTTGACAGTTTTGGTGTTTGCCACTGGTTGACAGAAAGTAGAGATTTTTCTGGTTTCCTTAATTGGCTTGAACTTGCCATTAATTAACTAAATCAAAGCATTACACATTATAAGGATGCAGGCTATCACATTCGCCAATTAACATGCGGATGAAAATACCTGCAAATAAGTTCGAATAGTGGGCAAAGATGAAGATAAGTTAAGAATAATCCAAGAGCAGGTTATAGTTTTTGTTTTTTATTCAAAACCATTTTTTACAATATTGTTGAGGTCTGTTCTCAGCCTGCTCCAGCTGCCCAGCATGACAGGGACAACTATGAGAAACAAGAAGGGCTGGGAAAGGAATCCAGCTACTATGTTATGTTCCAGCTGTTAATTTTCTTTACCGACTTGGTTAGTGACTCCTTGATGTCTCAAGAAATCCTTGATGGCAATAGAAAAGGCATGGGATCAAACCAATCCTACCGTATAAGATGAAGAGAATAAGTAGGATGGGATTCCAAGACATTTGGATGTGGGAAGAGGTTTCATAGTAGCTAGGGTCAGGAGGGACCTGAACAGATCACCTAGCCTGACCCCCT